TTACATGGGATCTGGTCCTTGCTTCTGGAGCTGAATTGCTTGGTGGAATATGTTTCTAAAATACTAAGCAGTAGGGAGACATTAAAAAGTATCCAGACACTAAACTGAAGCAATAATAGCTTTCTGTGCGGTGATTGGTCTTGAGATTGTCTTGAACTGTGGTATAGTGGATGGGGTCTAATCCTGCCTAGGGGGGGTAGTTAATTATTGCCCAAGGTAGAGATGCTTCAGCAAGAAAGATGGCAAGAATCTCAGTCCAACACCGCCTCTCCCTCTTATCCCCCCTGTTGTTGGGGTACTCTTGTGTGAGAAGTCAGGAAAAGGGGCCTTTTACATGTCCCAGGCCTTACAAACTAATGAGATGTTTGGAGTGGATGAGACACTCAACTTTGGGTGGGTATTTTACTTCCCAACTTCAAAAGAAATCTGCGGGTTGCAGAATTTTGAGGGGTTGACTTTTTTAAAATCCTAATGCGAACTATAAATGGGTTTTTTTCACAATTCAAATAAAGTTCAATAGATGAGGAAGAAGATTCCTAACAAATGCTGACCATAATATCAGCAAGCAAAAAATGACAGCCAAGTCACAGTGACTATTGGAGGACCATAAATCTCATTTTTTTTCTGGACCAAACGTGAGTGGTGCTTTTAGTACTGAAATATCCAAAAGTAAGAACAGCAGGAGAGAAATGCAAAGAATAAAGGACAAGAATAAAGATGAAGAACCTGGAGCTACCAGTCATTATCATGAGTTCGATGCTATGCTATCTGAGCAGAATATACTTCTAAATACCGACTTTCACTTGGCTCACTGAGCAATTCATTTTTTGACAGACTGATAGTTGACTGGAAAGTTTATTCTCCATAAGAATGTAAGTTGATATGAGACTAACCCACCATTAAACATTTGCTTGTCATCTCAAACAGGCTTTTATTTAGTACCTTTACACAGAAGAGGGAGTAAATAATGACAGGCTAAAAAAGCCCTCCTCTGGTAAAAACTAAAAATTAAAACTCCAGTGGATACTGAGGGATTAATTTTTCATGGTGTTAATATACAGTGGGCATATTCAACATCGTTCTTCTAGTAAATTCATTTATGTCTTAACATTCATATTTAATGAGTTTGTCCCTTAGATTATTTTAAATCTATAAAATTTCTAAAAAGAACTGGCAGTGTGTCAGTGTGGGGAAGAAGATGCTAAAACCATTTTCTTTGTGAACAGAAAATATTCGAAATTCAAAACATGAAGTGTCATAATTGTTCTAGAGCAAGAGCTGCATTTAGGCTGCCTTGAGTTAATGCCAAAGCCATTTTTGTAACCACTATTGGGGAGAGAAGACATCTTAATTAAACTCTGCCTTTGTTGAAGACATCAGAAAAGCTACTGGCAGAGTGTGCATGCTAACTGCAATCATGCATCCTGCCATTACCACTGACAAGGAAAAAAACCAATAAAAGTGGGCTGCAAGTGGCTGCTGTCACACAAATTGCTGTGGAAGAAAACTGTTGCTTGTCCATTCAGTATGTCTTTGAATTTTAAATGACAACCTCTAATAACCACAAGTCAGAATAATTTTTTCCACAGTAGGGCTTTACTGACATGTCACACAGAACTGTTCAATTTCAGAAGTCAAGGTGCAAAATAAGATCAGTGAAAATCTTTAGGAGATGTTGAACTTTGATTGTTGATCCATGGTGAAGTTTGGTTTTCTTGTTTGTTTTCCCCTGAAGTCAAGGTGTTTAAAATTATATAGAAATGGTATTGTTCACAAAAAACACTTCAGTGCGGCAACTAGGACTTGGAGAAAACTAGCAGCAGTATATCTATAATAAAATCACCCTTATCATGTTCATTTGTGGTTTATCATTTTGTTGTATTTTCTTACCATTCTCTTACTCTTACATGTGGGAAGATAAAGGCATGTGTGGGGTTTAATGGACAAGAATAAATGCTGGTCTTCTGTCTGTGTCACTACCGGAAGAGTTAAAGAAAGGTAACATACCCAGTACCCTTGTGGACAGGCAGCATCAGTCTTCTGCTATTTTTTCTGGGCTTTGCTGCTTGCTCCTGCATTAAAAAAAAAGATAAACTAAAAGAAAGTATGGTCCAGAAGGATTTGAGAAGCTCATTTGTAAAACATCTTAAGCTAAGACTGTTCCTGTAATGTTATTAAGCGGCAATGGGTGGAAAAAATACCATAGAAATACAAGGACTACCAGATTTCTCTTCTCTGCTTGCTGCTCAGGTGTCTCAAAAAGGACCTGAAAGAGTAATTTATCTTTCTACTAGGGGAAGAGATAAATTCCTTGTTTGACAGGATTGTCTGCTTCATCTTGGAGATATTTACCTTGAAGCTGTATGGAGTAGTCTTTGTGACTATTGCTTATTATGACTCACATAGAGATTGATGTGTCATTTCATACAACTCTATCACTAAATCTGGGTTCCGTTTTGGATAAGATCAAAGAAGTACTGTGTCTAATTTCCAGTTTGCCCAGTTTTCAGAGCACTGTTGAGTTAAAACATCTAGTTGTTATTTACTTTGATTCTGTGATCTGATGTACTGTGATATATGTTTACTAAAGATTAGAATCAAGAACTAGTAAAATATGCATGATTAAATTACTTGTTAGGAATACAAGTTTTAATCTCACCAAGGACAGGGGGGGCCTTAAGGTAGAAAAGATGTTCTTAGGTAAAAAAGATTCTGATAATCCACAGAAAAAAAAATAAAACCAACAAAGTAAGAAGAAAGTTTCACTTGCTACATAACAATAGTTATTGTTTTGCTATGTTTGGATCTGAGTGAACAAATAAATGGAGGATTCATACTCTGTCTCATCACACATAGGCTGAAAAGCTAACTGAAGTGGATAGCTATTCACTAAGATACTTTCATTTGGGTATAATTTTGGATGGTTGGTAAAGCAGGGTTAACTTTAAATAATGCTTTTGATGAAAACATACTCAAATGATTGTTAGAAACTAGATTTGTCAATTTAGAAAAATTAATATAATAAGTGTAAAGAACAACTTTGAAAGTCACTTCTAAGTTTGACATTCTTCCCTTGAAGCAATAAATGTAAACAACTGGTGACAGTGAGTTGACTGTGCTTTGCCTTCCTATGAAACTTTGCACTAGAAAGCGTTGATAAATAATCATTTATTCATAATTCTATAGGTATAGAAAGTGTTTTTCAAAATGCTGATACTTTTCCTGTAAATAATATTTAAAGATCTAGTTTTAATAACATTTTAAAAATTATTTTATTTAGTCTTTAAAAATGCCCTTTTTAATACGTGTTAAGTAAGCATGTTTAAAATTGTCAGTTTGAAAGTACACATTGAAAGCATACATTGATATGAAATAGGTCTTGACTCCTTTTTAAATTATGAAAATAGTTTTGAGTTGCCTGATTAAGTTGATGGAGACATTAAAAGATAATACACTTTACATGTTTATAAATTTTTTAAAAATATTTCTTTCTGAGTATTCCTATATAAAGACTGAAAAACTTTTGCTAATTTAAAAAATCATGGAAAGTAAAATCTGCAGGTACAATAAATTTAAAAAAATAAGTTGTAATGTACTTACATGTTAATCATCAAAAGATTATGTTATTTATTTGCATGCCTCAGAAGTCTTACAGTGTTACTATTTATAGCAACAGTTTTATTATATTTACAGTTTAATCTTGTATTATTAATTTAGATGGGTTTATTGTTTAATATGACTTTGTAATTTGGATACTCAATAAAAACATTTTCAGAATAATTTCATAGAACCAAGCCCCTATGGAAAACTTCTGAACATACAACTTAGAGCAAGTTTTGTTTATTAGTGTTTATTTTCACCTCCCCATAGGATACTGTAAGTAACCCAGATTGATTAGTTGTGAGAGCAATTATACACAGATTCAAGGAGGATTTTATATTCTGGCCACAGGGTTACATGGAGACACTTTCTGTCTTAGAAGTTCACCTCTTTGTTACATATCTGTATCAAAATCTTTATGAATTTAGCTCACTACTGTGGAACTAAGTATGATATGACATAGATGCTTTTAATGCTAATGTTCTCACAAGTTTATGTACTGGCTACCCGGAGCTGGGCCTGATAGTTAATGTTTAACAACATTAATACCAATATCACACAGAGGTAGTGCTGTTTAATTTTTTTAAGATGTGATGTCTTCTTTCTCTGAACCAGTTTTGAAACAGCTCAGTTTGTAATTTGGTAAGGCAACATCCATGCTATGAATCAAAAAATTTGCAACTTGGCAATCCCTGTCCAATTCTTAGAAATTTTCATATATGCAGAGAGTACCTTCGTTGTTCAGCTACCTAAATTTCCCATGGCTTTAGCTTACTGAGGATTTTCCCCTCTGTTGAAGAAAGGTTATATCTTGCCCTGATCATGGGTGTTTTTCCCTGGGGGTTGTAAGAGGGTTGGTGGGTTGAATCCGCTTCTAGATTGGTAAAATATTTTGGGAACTCTTCAGATGGTACTGTTACAAATTATACCAGATTAGTCTATCACTTTCAGTAGGAAAGGAAACAGACCTTTTCCTTCCAGTTTCCTCAAAACTTGTGTGCAGTACAGTAAGTTACTAACATGTATGAAACGAGTAGATTTTTTCAAATGTTTTGTTATTTTCTGTAAGGGACTATACTTGTTGCTGAAGTCTAAAATTTTTTGCAGGGTTTAATCTGGTTTAAGCTTTTGACTGTGGGTATTTGGGATGTTCTTTTTTCTCTGTTTTACCTGTGTTAATTGTAATGAGGAATGTTGGAGGCAGAGAACAGGACACACGACTGGTCTAATAACACTCTGCAGCAAGATTTTTCTCCATCTCCATCCGCACACATCCTGTTGTAGTACTTACTTTTAAGACAGCAATGCTGCTTCACCAAACTTCCTCCTACAGTGAGAGAAGTAGGGATAACTCTTGGAAAAAGTTTTGAGGCTAGTGACAAAATATGTTTGTCTTTCAGATCCCCAGCTCAAGGGTATAGTGACCAGGTTATATTGCAGGCAAGGCTACTACTTGCAAATGCACCCCGATGGAAGTCTCGATGGAACCAAGGATGACAGCAGTAATTCTAGTAAGTGACTGCCCCAGGGGAATGTCTTAACTGCACACACAGATCGCATCCCTCGAATGTGTATGCACAGACACCGTGTTAATGCCTTTAAAGGGTTTCTGAATGTGTTTTGTTCAAAGGAGGAGGGTTCTGTCTGTTTGAAGCTTGATGACCACCAGCATGGCTCATACAGGACATTGGCCTAAATATGTTCCCTCTGAAGAGAAAGGTGTAAGTGCCCATGGACCTCACGAGTGAGATATTTAGGCCAATGGTTGTCTTCTGGTAATTTTATAAAAATGGTCAAATTACATTAAAATATATTTTAATAAAAATTATATATTTAACTTATTTCTTTTACTTTCCAATAAATAACAAAGAAAAAAAGAGATGGAAACTAAATTTCCCTGAAAAATCTGGATATATAGGCCCTGATTCAGCAAAGCAAATAAATGTACATTTAACTATTAAAGTCCTGTTTAAAACACACACTGAAGTACCTTGCTGAATTGGGGCTAAAAATCCTACAGTCCCTATACCAGAAAGAGTTCCAAAGACCTTAAACAAATTTCTGCCACTGTAGGGGCTGCATCAGTGACAGTTTTCAAAAATATTCCAAACAAAAGCAGTCTTGAAAGGCAATGTGGCTGACTGCTTTAATACACTTTTCCTATGATAAGGCCACATATTTTCATTCAATGAGGATATATGTGTTTGGTAACTTCAGCTGCAAATGATAACTAAAAAAGCCTATTCTTACTCTAAAAACAGTTGATTTGTATTTTGTATATTTTAATTATAATGACATATTTAAGTAACATTTCTGTGTGACCTTGAGTTCTATTTTAGGCACTTTTAATACAAAAGTTTATCTTCTTGTTATGCATACATATACATAAATAAGCCTTCAGTTTCCTCAAAAATCTTGGAATTAGGCTACAGAAATTAGGGGATTTGAGGTTTCTGCTTTACATTGGTAAGGTCTTATTTTATCTATTAATGCATGGCTGTCATTTATAACACTTTTCATCAACAGATAACATGATCATCTTTTATTGTTCTGTTTTTTTAAAGTGAGAAAAGCTGATTAATCTATTTTGATGTGTACTTCTCTACCTGCTTTCCAAGTGTTTTTGTTCCTCCCCACACCCTCCCTCCCCACCCCATTCCTTGTTTATTTTCTTCCCTCAGTGTGTCCATCTCTCATGCCCACTTCTGTACTGGACTAGATACTAAGACCTTATACAGACAAGACTATTATTGCCTTTTATAGAAGCTTTGCCTAGATGAGGTCTGAGAAATATATCTTAGAGTGCGAGTGCGTGTCTCTCTCTGCCCATCTCTCTTATTTTCAGCTTCAGCGAGAAGGTGTGTATGACTACAATAATTTTGCAAAGTTTTATTGTTTTTTCTGAGGGTTTTTTTAAATCTTAGAACTCTATGAATTTGGATTCTTTGCAAAACCGGACCATACTACTTTTCTCTTTTTGCTGTTGTCAGCTTCACAAATCTTTTTTTTTTTTTTTGCTTACTATTTAATTTACCTTTCTCTCCCTTCTTCCCTGCCTCTCTGGTTTTCCATCTGTCTATCCATCTCTTTTATTCTTCTTTTTCCAAAATGCAGAGTGACTTATAATATTATAATTATTATATCTGTATCATTATAATATTATGATTAATATTATAAATATTAGGAAATATAGAACTTCTCCAAACTCAACCAAATACCAGACAGCAATATTGTGTATTTTGGATAAATATTGTTCGATAACATTGTGTTTTACTTCAAAATTATTTTTAAGCTAATTTTTTTCCATAAGAGTATTTTTTTCTGTCTTTAACTGGTGTGATTCTTTATTTTTTATTCACTAGTCCAATTTTAAAATATTTTTTAATAAAGACAGTTTAGAACAGAATGCAAAATTAATGTGTTTGCCAGGGGGGCCTATAATGTCCACCTGAAATTTTGCTGGTATAGATGAATCAACACTATATTAAGAGCTGAAAAGATTGATCTAGTTGGTCTATTCATTAATATAAAAAGATATGAATATGTGTCTGTTTCTTTTGTGCTGACAGTCTTTCTCCTTATTTTTTTCCCTTTCCATTTTATTTCCTTCCATTTCCTGTTGAATTTTTTTCCTATTCCTTTTGTTTATTGCAGCATATTTTGGTTTTTCTTCTCTCTTTTACTTTAAAACAATAATTTTCTTATGGATAAAATTACTAGTATTTTGATATTTTGTTTTCTGAGCTCCTTAGCATGATAATTTCTGTCTGAGACTTACAGGTAAATAACTTCTGGCAGTGGCCCAAGGAGAAAATCCTGCTTCTGACCACAGTGTTTACAGACTGCCTATTTAATGTGCCCAGTGGGTGAAGGGATGGACATATATTAGCTGTCAGTAGGACAGATAATATGCTTATCTTGATAGTGAAGATGACTTCCATTTGATTGTGTTCATAAAAAAAGAAAATACAGACCACCAAATGGTGTGCATCTCTGCCAGCCTTCCACCTGTCTTCTGCACTATTCACTGTCCCTGAAGAGAGTGCACTGTCCATCTGAGTAAATGGGTGTCAGAAAAGCAAGGCGTAAGAGTCAGAAAAAGATGTATTTTCTTTTTTGTCTTCAGCAAGGAAACTGTTTGAAGCTTAGTCATGCTGCTACTTTTTGTGCTTCTGCAAGGTATTCTGTGTCAAGCAGTCAGAGGAGTGCTTGAAGTTAAAATTCCCTCAAGTGCCTATATCATTTAGTACTCATTTTATATATATGTCAGTAAACAATAAGTTACACACTATTGGAGTCACAGTGTTACAGAGAGGTAGCATAAACCATTAAGATGTCTTTAAAGCTTCTCAGTAGTCTCTTTACTGACATTTTGCTTCTATTTGAAGTCAAAATGAGTTGTACCAGTGGATTTAATCAGCTGCTCTAGTGCAAGCCATTGTCCCAGCTTGCCTTAAGTCTGAGTAAAGGCTAGAGTCTGCAGAGAGATGGCAAGATTTTTAGTACATTGCTGCACACAAATCCTTCCATGAAAAAGGAAGAAAGATGTGACTTGTAATTACATCCCTGAAGGTACTTTCGTCTGTTCATGTTGATGGCCATGATATTAGAACTCAACCTCAACAGACTGATAGGTTTCAGTTTAGTGTTGTAATTTCTATGTATAACTTATCCAAGTTAATCATGTTTTGTGAAAGAGTGTGAATTAATACAACCATTGGTTAATGATGCTGAGTTTCCTTAGATCACATCACCAGATCAAGGCTGTTAGCTTAAGCAATCTTGTGTGTTCAGTCTGTGGGTTTTTTTGCCCCATTCTCAATCATATGTGAAAAGAAGCTTTAATACATTACTTTTATTATTTTAGCTGGTTTTCTCTTTTTTGTTTCTCTAATGCCTTACAGTTTATGGTTTGCTTTTGGAGCATGCTTGTAGCAAAGGCAGGAGTGACTGTGGTTAAAGCTGTAGGCTTGATTACTGAGGTCCTACTCAGTGTAGCTGCCCTTCTCTAGCTCTAATTTTCCTGGATTTTACAGTTGCAAACGCAACTTGCTTCAGTGTTGTCCACGGGCCTTATCATTATTAATTAGGAAAGCTACAGGCTACTACACAGAAATCATAAAGAAATAGAAGAGATTTCCATATGTGCTTCTGGTAACAAGCATAACATTCTCCTCCTGTCCTCCCCACCTAAACCGGCTCATTTTTAGGTTTTGGTCTGTCTTCAAAGTTTTGTCTTATGAATGAAGGGTAGGTTCTGTAGGAAGACTAATAAATTTGAGAAACAGACAATTCTGATTCTTTAATTTCTGAGATCAAAACCCTAAATCTTTGAGATCTATGGCTTCTTTTGATTCACCTAGAGAGTGTATCTCAGCCAACAACCACTGAAAAAATTCAACATAAATGGTGATACTTTCTTTTATAGGAGATAGACCTGATTGTAACACTCAAATGTTGCTATTTGCGCCCCTTATGAATTACAGTCATGTTTAGAACATGTTTATAACATGCTGTAATTAAAAGAGCATTACTCATTGATAATTAGCCTTATTTCATAAGCTGATAAATGACAAAGTTAACGTTAACCAAGCAACTTTGATTTGGCTTTGTTGTGCACATCTCTTCCTTTATTATTCTGCAGCGTGCTTTACCTCCTTGTGAGGCTTGGTATCTGGTAGAGTTGCTGTTCAAGAAAATCCTGCAACCATTTAACATTCCTTTATTTTCATCTTTTAATGCATGCTCCTAATATTTTATTTATATCTTCCAAATTGACTATGGAAGTATTAACTTTTTAGTGTCTTTCTAAAGTACCTACCCCTATCACATTTTGGTTTGAAGATACAACTAAAATAATCTTTACAGCACGCTTTTAAAGTAAAGGAGATAATTAGACAGAAATAAAGCACATGAAGATTAAAAAACAACACCTGCAGTGCTGTTAAATTTGGATTAATGAACGTTAAATTTGGATTACTGCACTGAAATACCTGCAGCCTGATTTTCACATTGCTTTTTACTGAAGTTTGTCTTCTAAGAATTATACAGGCATTTACTCATCTACCTACACCACCTCTGGGAGTTAGGTAAGCCTGTTTCTCCCATTGGGATAATCTTAGTCTAACAGAGTCAGTGAAGACCATGTTCAGTTATGTTTTAATTACGTCTTGTGTAAAGTCAGGTAGGTAAAATGGGTTTGCTCCATAAGAAACGGATGGACAGACCTCTAAATACCAACCTTTTTGCACTCATTGCCAATCTAAGAGATGTTCTGATGGAGTCGCCATTTTTGCCTGTGCGTCTGCAGATGAAAACAAATTAAAGAAATAGTTGCCTTGATCTGATTGGAGATTTGGTGCTGTGGAAAGTTTTGTTAACTGACACAAGAGCACAGCACATTCAGAAGAGACAGCAAATTTATAAGCCTTAAACAATCGTTTTTTTAGCAAGCTTCTTGAGAAAAACAGTGATCTGCAATAGCAATTTTCTTGTAGCTACAAGTCAGTTGTACCTACATAGACTTTCATAAGTAAATGGAAATATCTGATTTTAGGCATTTCAGATTTCAAATTAATAGACTATGATGATATTGTGTAAAAGAAGGAAAAAGTTATGTGGTGGTTTTGTGTTTTGCTCAAGAAAGGAGTGATTGCTTACAAAAAAAATAAAAGTGGACTTAAACTTTTACTAAAGCTTTGTGAGGATTAAAATACAACTCAGATTTGGAGTTCCTGCAAGTCTCCTCCATGACACCTAAACAAATAACCATTTTCATGCCAGTTGTTCCTGCTAACCGCCCCCCACCCCCATTTTCTGAACTTGTGTGTGTTGGGAATAGGCTTAGGCTTGTAGGCTTAGGAGAAGGAGGAGAAACTGTGTGCTTTATGGTCACGGTTTAGATGGAATACAAATCAAAGCTAAGGGAGTGCACAGATTCAGTGCTGACAAGAAGAAAAGGTTTTACTTGAACCGTTTTTGCCGATTGGTTCCTTTGTTTTCCTTAGTGTTCCCACGTCTTATTTACATTTGGATTCGCCGGGCTTTCTGCTTAAGTGTGCAGTATAGGGACACTGAGCATCAGGTAGAGTTATATTTCCTAGGCTGAAAGAGGGTGCCCCCTCTCTCAACTCATCTATGGACTCATTGAACTGGGTTTAGGTACATAAAGATGTTCAGGAGTCTCACTCTCCAGTCAGTTTTGGTTTTGGATCAATGTCATAAAGACAGAAGAAAGCTGGGGAAATGGTTCTTTTTCACAGCCCCCTCAGGTAAGAGCATAGCTTTGGCTGTGCAGAACCGAAATGCCAGCAGACTCTTGAAGGCTTTCTGCTTCTCTCAAAGCAGGTTCTTATTAGAGTGGGGGATAGCACAGGTGAATCCTAGGAAGGTTTGAAATGTGTAATTAGGCACAAAAGTCTTGTTCATTAAAGAGTACTGCACAGTCATGTTCTGGAGGAAATTGTCTTTCCTTTGGCCACCTTCAAAGCACCTAAAAACCACATACTGTACCTTCCTGATACATGTTTTGCTGACCCCAGTATGAAACATATTGCTGAACACTTGTCAATTGAAAACTGAATGTAGACTGACCTGCCTAGTTTCAACCCAGTCTGAAAGATTTTGTGAAATTTACTGAATTTTCTGTATGTGCAGAATTGCAGCATTTCAGATCATACTCTAAAATTTTATGGTCTTAGGCTAATTACAGGAGCTCTGACAGTCTCCAATTAAAATCTAGCGGCAGTAAAAGATACATTACATACCCTCTTCAATGCTTTCTAAATTCACCAGGAACTATAAGATGCTCTAGTAATTTTATAGTTGCATAAAACACTGCCCTGTTACAAGCCTCTAATTCTTCTTCAGTGGTGGCTGGGGTTTTTTTCTAGCTCTGCTACTTTATTTTCAATGGCAATACAGCAAATTATATCTATGTTCCAGAATTTTTTTGATGGAACTCTATGATTTGAAGTTATTTTTCCATAGCAGTTTTCATGGCTGACTTGTCTTTTGTGTTCATTTCTTGTCTTTATACAAGTATTGTTTGCTTTTTCTTTCTGGTGCCCCTTCAATTGTTGCTACCCCCCCCCTCTAGCATGGTGTTTCTATGCAGGTTTCCTCCTCCTCCGCAATTTCTTTTCTTCTAGGAAAAAACCCCAAACTCAATTGCTATCTGAAACTTAGTTTTTCTCTGACAGACTCCCCATCCACCATCCACAACAGTGATTTTACTGGCTTTGAATTGTTTCCTTTCAGGGTAATGACTTTAATTTTTAACTTGCAGATTATATTGAACATTTGAAAGCCCTCAAGCCATGCAGTGTTTAGCCTATATACTCTTAGGATATCTTATCGATGAGTGCCATATTTCACTGTTTATCCTAATACAGACAGGGAACCTTGTCGATATCCAGTATTTTTCTAGTGAACAGCCCACTAAGATCCTAACATAATGGAGACTTTTGGAAATTACAGAAATTAAAATGCTATTTATTTACGCTAATTCTTGTCATCCTTTCTATTCTTCTTTGTAAACCCCCCCAAAAATTATCTGTCCTTCTAGAGCTCTTTTGAATATATTTTTCTTTCTACACCTTTAGGAAGTACTCTGCTATAATTCCTAGCTTTATACTGGCTTTGTGTGTTTGTAAAAAGACCTAATGTTACACACTCTTTTTCTCCATAACAATGTTGAAGGAAAAGTATCTTTTTTTTTTCATCCACTTCTATCTTTAAGTTCTAGTAGTCAACCTATGCTTTTTCTCAGTTGTAAAGAATTGATCATTTTCATCATAAACAAACTGTGGATTTGTGTCCTTTGACCAAACAGGAGTTTTCATACCTTGAGAAATGTACTTATCCACTACAAGTACATGACACTTTTTCTCTTGATTTTGGCTTTAGCTCTGGCATTCTGATTACAGATAGCCTCATACAGTACATTTTCTGGTCACATCTCTGAATGACCTTCCTAAATTTTGAGGAACTCACTGTAGATGTTACTGTGTTCCTGAGACCTGACTTAGTAGAACCGTAGTCCTCACTGCATATGTCGAATACAAAAGTTGTGCTTTTGGTTTTCATCCAAGGACTTGTGAGTCCTTGACTCATTCAGAATGGAAAAATATTTAGCATGAACTCTGTCTCATCTAGAGCTTTTCTTCCAAGACTTATGTGTGTTTTGCATCTGATTTTCTAGTATGAGTCAGTAAATGTAGTATAGGTGTGTGCTAGCATAATTTTTAGAAGAAGAATCTTTCATGTCTCCAATTTATATAACTTTTCCTGGTTTTCTGTGTGTTTTTCTGTGGTGAGGCTGGTAAACTCCCACTCCTCACACTGGTCTTTTTCAGACAGTGATCAAAGTTGTTGCTGGTTTCGTTACTACAGAGGTATATATCATTCCTACGGTATTTGCTATTAGGTAGTTTTCTAATTATTTTCTAATTACTCCACACACGCACGCACAGAGCCCCAAGTTTTTGAGCATGTTCTGTATTTAGCTCAATAACATTTATGCACATTTAGAGTCAAGTACATATTTCGGTGCCTTTATGAACTTTTAAGCCTCTGCCATTACCTTCTGTGTTGCTTGCCAGAATTGGAGATGTTTTCTGCAGGGCATAAGTATTACTCTTATGATCAGTCTACGTTGGTGAGGGAACTGGTGGGCTCTTTGACGCTATTCAGATTGTCTCAGATGTTCATGTTTGCAGTGCTGCATAAATGATTACAGCCCAGTTTGCTGTGCTTTGTATTTACTAGTTAACACTTGTACCAGATACTAAACTATTGCAGAACTTATTGGTAGATAGATAGGCTTTAATTCTGAGGACGAACTTTGTAAGAAGCTGGTTTTTCTGAATTAGTCTAATTTCAAAATCGGAAAAAAAAATTATACAGTTTATTATATAGTTTCTTTTTACTAGTGATATTTATTAGGATATTGTTTTAGTCATAGCATATTAATATCTGGTTATGTTTTTTCTTCATAGCTTTATTCAACCTTATACCAGTGGGACTTCGAGTTGTTGCTATCCAGGGTGTAAAGACTGGGTTGTATATAGCCCTAAATGGAGAAGGTTTCCTCTACACATCAGTAAGTACCTTGCTGAACTCTGTTTAAGAGACACAACTGAAGCTGAAATCTACATAGGAATGAGAGATTTACTTTTAAGAAGTTCTGTAATGTCTTATATATATATATATACACGTATGGTACACACACCATATATGTACACAGCATTATCTATAAATGGGATTAAGTAGAAATTACTGGGTACTGCATATGAAAGTCTGCATGTTAACAGTCCAGAAAAGGCATACTGTAAATGTCTTTTGCTGGTAGGCTATACTGGTAGTGTACCATATGCCATAAACCTTATAATTTTCAATTAATTTCTCAAAAATCTTTAAATAAAGACCTGCAATTATTTTTTAGTGACTTGTTGATCAGAATCCAAAAGCTACTCCAACAGTTATTTTTACTGATAATATTTACAAGTGCAACTTCCATCTAAAAGGTTGTTAACAGCCTTACAGTTTATTACCATAATCTTGTAATTGTGTCTTAACATTATTGGTTTTTATGTCAGATATAAAGAAAATAAAGAGTTCTGTAAGGGACTATATCTTTGTGGAATGATTAAAGTTGAAAAAAAAATCTTTTGAGTCACAAAGAAGACTGCTGGATAAAGTGATTGGAAAGATCTCATGTTGTTTATGATATCATTGTTTATGATATTTCAAATGATTTAATGCTAATCACTCAGTGTGTTGTTGTGAATATAAAATTCCTCAGTTTTGTATAAATTTAGTGTCTTAACCTCCTTTGAAAGGCAAACAGACTTTAATGTGAGCAGGCAGTTCTGTCAGGTATTAAGAAGGTGGCTTAAAGGATTTTTCATTACTATATTTTTACTGACATCTATGTGGAATTTATTTACATAGTGCTTTTTCCATTTTTTACGTCACATAGTTCTTAATTCCCCACTGAGTTACAATATAGTGCTTTGTTGTCAATGACCGTTGAAAGGAAATTGGAAAGATTAAGTTTCTGATGCCCTGAGGGAAAGTATTCTGTTTGTTTCAAACATACAATTTTCTTGGAAAAGCTAATTAGGAAGAAAATAATGGAACTAATCTTGAATGTCAATGTCAAGACAGAGAGAAAATTCCTCCTTATACAATGTCTGCTGGAAATTCCAGCAGTATGATTTTTTCGCTTCTCTTCAAAATAAAAATTCTATTGCAGGAAAACATGCAATATTTGCTGTCAGAAGGAAGAAAACTAGAAGAAAAAAACCTAGAGTTATTAGAAAAAATGAATTACTGACTTTCCAGTTCCATCACTTCATCTAGGGAGTTCATTTCTGTATCATGGCATGAAGAGTATTTTTTGAATGTTTTGGCACAGTGAAGAGTACATTCTTGCCCAGCACTGCTTCTGAAGTGAGCACTCAGTCCTTCAGAAAGAAATACAAATTTCAGAAGGTGTACAGTTTCCTGATGGATAATTCTGCAGATGGAGTAACCCTACATAAACAAATTCTCACAGCCACTGTATTTATGTATTCCAGAAATAGTTCAAGTTAAATGAAGTAAAGTGAGGCAAGGAAATGAGTGTTTTTATAATGTACTGCTCACTCTTGTGCAGAGAATGAAAGATGAGGGGTCCATTAAATGGCAAAGAGATTTGATGCATTAGAAAACACAGTGGAAGACTTTAGTTTTGATATGTCTACAAAACCTTTTGTCAAGTAGAAAAGTAATAATTTAATCTAATACAAATTTAAAGGTAGTGGTTTCAAAACATCAGGGCTGTAATACAGGTTTGATTGTTCATATTAATGTATTGAAAACATTGGTAATACACTTTTGTCTCAGCAATTGCCTGCTTTCAGCATAAAGACTAATAAATTTGAAAATAAGACAACAAAGCATGAGAGAAGTCTGTCTCCTCCTGAGAATCAAGATGAAGAAATAATGTATGCAGAATTAATACTGTCATTTGTAGAAAAGTGTTTTTAACAAATTACTTTCTATTACTGTTCTGTTTGTGGATTTTTGACTCATTTTCACGTTTGTGTATCTGTTGCACCTAAATGATGAAGTTCTATGTTATATGTCATGTAATTTTCCCTTGGTTATTTAGAGGAGGATGTAAGAAAAAAGTTTTTGAAGTTTTGTATGATGACCATCATAACTGAAAAAACATGCTGCATAATGGGAATGATAGTTAAAATGTATACATAAATATATTTATTACTGACTTATTACAGGGATTTAAAAAATGGAAGCCTGCACTGTAGACTAAGCAGCATTTATAGTCTGAGACCAAAGTTCTGTATAGTCCTTTTCTGCAGAATACCTCAGTGTCCCTTTTTCCATTCACAGTGTACAAAACCCACATCTTGTGACAACATACTACATGTTGATGCCTTTCTTCAGAGACTGAAGGCCCCAACTCAATTATTTTTATCATAAGGTTCTCATCCTGTTGACTAATTAAGCAACAGCACTGACAGGAAAGGTATTATGTGTGAACCTGCTTTCTCTGGTATGAAGTGTTCAGTAAGAAGAAAATGAAGGTACAGTTACAGACCAGCTTCGCATACAGATCACCAAAAGCAGAATTACATTGTCTCTTGCCTTTTTTTAATTTTTTTTTCTCTATAGTTAGTTGTATCAGTTCGAGAGTCTTTTCCCCCCTTCCTCTCTTACTTTATTCTGACATATTTAATATTTTTTCAACTATTTCTCAGAATTAGAACTATCAAAATATGCAGAATAATCGTATTTCTTTGAACAGAAACAGGAGGACAGCAAATTGTGTAGGAAGGTCACTCTCAGGAGCTTTTCATACCTATTTTGCCTGCTGCAGCAGTTGAGATTTGTATTCTGTCCTTTCGGGATTGATCAAGCCAGGGTCTCTATCATACACCATCAAAGTCTTGTCAAATAAAGGAGAAGCAAAATCTTTGGAGTTTGATAGGGATTTGCAGAATTCCTGAGAGAAATTATTTTTACGAAATCATAGCCTAATTTTTTCTATGTGTTTAATTATTGTAATACCAAAATTCATTTTTTCTGTCAGATGAAATATGAGAACAAGAGCCTTTTCATGTTGTTTTTTATCTTACACTTTTAAGGGTTATCCCACCTAAAGACTATCTCACCTATTTTGAAGTTTTGGGTTACTGCATTCAACTTTATTTCTGTGTGTGTATATATATATACACATATATATTTATATTGATATATATCTACTCATAATTAAGATATATTTATCTAGTGACAGCTTTCAAAATCTGCGTGTGTTAGTGAGCAATGACAATTATAAAAGTGAGTTGAAATTTATTTTAGTTGGTTTAATGAACTGTGAACAATTCAGTATTTATGACTGCCTTAATAACTGTGAAAGCTAGTTGGAGAATCTGGATTTTTCCACAAAGAACCATCTCAGTTGCTAGCAAGATTTTTGACATAATAGCTATGGACTTCATATGTTAGAGTCAAAAATGATGCCTTACTCCTGTCTTGCCTTTGGAAAGGGTGAGCAAGATGAGGTTTCTTTTCCAGGTTTTACCTTGTCATAATCAAAAGGAGTGAAACTGGCTCCATACACTGAAAAATGAAGCACAGTTCCAGGGATTCTTCATGGGGAACAGGTATTGCCTGCAGCAGGAAGATGGCAGTGCAGTACATGGCAGAATCTCTTGTTGGGTTTGATGCTAATTTTGCTCAACTCCCTTTGCAAGCAGTTAACTAGTTCAGTGTTCAGGGGGCTGAAGCTTCTTGTTTTGCTTTTAGGATTTTCTGCTATCTTAGCAGGACGAACTCAAAGGTAAAACTTATGTGAGTCCATTTTATGATTCCTATTTTCCTATGATGAGGATATGAGAGTCTTCTGGGTTTATATCAGTGAATTTTTCTCAAGAATTATTTTATATATCTGGGAGGGTTTGGAAGGGCTACTGATTTCCTTTTTCATCGGAGCAGAGTATTACCAACATTTGGTGGCTATTAAAGTAAAAGAAAAGAGAAAATCTAAAATGTAGAAAAGGAAACATCTTAACTCTAGAACACCTTCACCTGCTTATTGTGCACCATGGCTCCAGAGATCCTCTTCTGGGTATGGGGCAGTGGGAACGTCACTGGGAGGATGGAAGGACATGACTGCATTTCTGGGAAGTTTACCAACTTTTTATAAAGTGTTTCAGAATTAGGAATGTCACACCACTCAAAACAGAAAAATCTTCCTTTAGGATGATGGTTTGTATTTTTGATCTGCCATGGTATGCAGTGTTGAGGGTGTTGGAAGGGTGTTGGTCAGGGTAGTGTTTCTTCTGCAGTAAGATATCAGTCTGTATCACAGCCTTCATGAAAGAGAGATAATATCAATATCTGTTACTGGGAAGTGCATTTGTTGTATGACTCTGGGAACTCTCACCTGAAAGAAAAGCCTTTGAGGATTTCTCCTGACATTTCAGCAGCTTCCCAACGCTGAAATTTCCACCATTTCTTTAAGCCCACATAATTGACCTCACTGAGGAGAACCAAATTCAGCCTCAAGGAAGAAGATAGTAGCACAGACAGCGAAGCCTGAGAGTGAGAACTGAAGTAGTCTGTATTTCTAATTAACACCTTATAATAAACAGAGCAGAAGGAAGTTAAAACTACACAAAGCCAAAGAGGAAATGTGATGTTTTAAAATCTGCAGGTTTTTACAAGAATGATCAGAAAGGTGTTAACATTGACATCGAGGCATTATTTTCTGTTATAACGGTGGTTGACCTAGGTTTTAGCAAAGATCATTCCCCACCTTGCAAGCTACTGTAGAAATAGTCAGGAATATATCTGTTTAGAGAGAAGGAGACAAATAGAGCTTGCTGTATGATTTGAAAGATGTAGACTTTTATTTCTAGTGGTTAGATATACACTGAATATTAGAAAAGGATAAGTCTTGTTGCTCTTGAGGTATCTGTGGTTTTGCAAATGCAAATACATCAGACTGGAGTGTCTCCTTTCATAGTATTGTGATCAATAGAAAACATCATTTTCTCTCTCATGTCAGACTTATGCTTTAGGGTCTCAACC